AGGTGTACCTGATGGGCTGGTGGAGCCCTCGTCCCAAAGGAATTCTGGCAGCACCATCTCTCTCCCAGCCTCCCAGTGCTTCATCCCTCGAGTATTCGGCTCTAAGACTTAGAAAACAAGTCTCTCCAAGTCTGCCCATAACTCTGCATTTTAAATGTTCTGTGGGCCATAATAACTACTTTACATAAATGGCCGGTAGGATGGAGCACAGCAGAACACAACAGGAGAAAGAAAACACAATGCAGTCATGTAGACTTCATTTGACCAGCTAGAGCGTTCAGAGAAATCGTCAGACCACACTAAAAGGAATGGAGTCATCTTTACACAACTCCCTTCACACTCTCTGAAAAGCCACGATGAAGAGCGACAAAAATTACGACGTCTTCGGCTAATTTTACATGACACAGACACAAATGACTTTATTTTTTCCTAATTGTGGGAAATAATGAAATCTTCTCTCTGTCCTTCTATCCATGTTCTCTACCCAAAGGTTCTGCTAATTTAAAACATTTGGTGGAAAAATAATACTAGGACATTGTTCTTATGAAAAAATCTAATCCGCTCGAGTTTAATTCTAATACTCTGAGAAGAATATGAACCTGTCCTGCATGATGGTACAATGACAAAATGAGTTAATTACCATCTCATCCTAAGATGAATCTACTTGTCATAGGAACAGGAGCCATTATTTCACACAAAATAATGACCCAGGTAAAACGTAATGACTGCAAGCTGAGGCAGCCAATGACACAGCTTCATCTTGACCTAACTGAATGGCAATTAACAAGTGTCACCACTACGTATATATGAATAAGGCCAAAGCTACTCATTAAATATTTGCAATGAACACAAAAACCACAAATGGTTTTTAGCATATTTCTTCCTGGGAAGCACCTGTGGTCTTCTACCTGGTGTGATGACAGAAAAATTTGCACGTGTAAAATTCAGCCATCACTTGGAATAGCCACAGGCCCTGGAGAGGTTCCCAGAGTTGTCCTCTGCTCTTTGCACACACAGGTGTTATTTTCTCTAGAACATAACGTAACATAACATCGGCCAGCAACAGAGAAGGGGAGCGGGGGAAGGGGGTCCAAACCCATTATTTTGTCCCGTTTCTTGTCATGGCAACTGGACTAGAAACTAAAGCCACAGCCAGCAACGACAGCGAGAAATGCTGGGGCTTTCCAAGCCCAGCCCTGTCCACTGACAGATAACGCAGGGCAAACGGTGGGGCACCCTCAACACACCTGGTTCCTCCAAGGCAGGAATGAGTATAAGCCACATTTCTATTTAGAGGAGCAGAGATGGGACTCTGGGACAGACATCTGGAGATGCTCCAGGTCAGAAATCTCACCGCTGCCCTAGTGTGCAAGCTGTCTAGTCTGTGCTATTTAAAAACCACGTGCATGACAGGAGCAGGATGATATGGTGGGCTTTAAAGCGTATTATTTTCAAAGCGTTAGGAACAGGATTCTCATACTGTAAGTCTTCACTTAATGGTGTCAATAGGTTCTTGGAAACAGACTGAGTGAAATGCCAAATAACAAAACCAATTTTTTTCTCAAGGTTAAAGCTAATCAACACTGAACGGCATTGAGGACCTGCTGTATGTTGTTTCACTGAAAGTCAGTTTCTAAGAACCTACTGACAGTGTTTTTAGTAAGGACTTATTATGCAAATATAGAACAAGCAGGTGTCATTTACTTAACAAATTAATGAATCATTAGATACTGATGTGTAGACACACACATACCAGTGGGAAAAAAAGAATGCTGGTATAAAAGTTAAAATAAAAACTGGTTAATGTCCTTCAGGACATAAAAACCCTAACTTTGAGGGTATTTTCCTTTGGACAGATGAACATCTCCACTTGGTACTACAGAAACAACACCCCAGGAGCCGCAAATCAGGCTGTTTTCAGAAGAATTAAGACAGGACCACTGCAATTGGTCAGTCACGAAATGATCTAATTTGGTTAAAACAAAGGCACCAACTTGTATCAACTCACATGTTTTCTCTTCTTTTTTTTTTTTTTTTTTTTTTTTTTTTTTTTTTTTTTTTTTTTTTTTGGGTTTATTACAGACAGGGTCTCACCATGTTGCCCAGGCTGGTCTCAAATTCCTAAACTCAAGCAATCCACCTGCCTTGACTTCCCAAAGTGCTGGGATTACACGTGTGAGCCACCGTTCCCGGCCAGAATCTGCATTTTTCATTGGCAAGTCAGGGGATTATAATGAAGGAGGTTTACAGAGTGCTTGTTGAGAAATACTGGCCTAGGGTTTGTCCCTGTCCCTAGGTAGAGGGATAATAGAGTCATCTGATTTAGACAAGTTTGCTACTGTGCTATAGGCTCTCAAACCACTCCTTAATTTTTATTTGTGGTTCAGACTTCCTGAAACAAATAACCTTGAGAGATGCCTCCTGTAGTTTTTTAATGACTCTCAAGGTAAATTTGGCCCCAGGGTAGATCTTGTAAAGGTATGGGTACCCTGAGTTAGTTGGAAAAAACCATCAAACCCCAGATTAGAAATTATTTTTCCAGAGATATTAAAAATATTGCTTTGGCAATACTCAAAAATCTTTGCTACTTTGATGTGACTTTATTATAAGAGAAAATGGAGAATTATTTTTGGAGAAATATTGCCTCCAGTCATCTTAATGTGCCTTAGTCAAATAGATTCAGCTTTAATCAGAAAGGCAAGGTGTATCCTCCCACTGTCCTTTGAAATATAGAAAATGATATAGAAATGTCATCACCAAGCTCATTTCTCTCTAAATTCATATTCAGATCAAAGCTGAATTCTATTTTGCTGTCTTCTTAAAATTAAGCAATGAAGGTGACCCTGAGGACACATACTAGAGCAAGGAGTGTGACACCAAATTTAAGTCATGAACAGAACTGTTTTTAAAACAGACACTTTATGCTTACATTTGCTTCTTTTTTTGTATTTTCACTTCATAGAGAAACAAGTAGAGCTATGACCTGGGTCTCACCTCTTCAGCAGGAACTCACACACTCTTACTCACTTTGTAGGGGCCTGCAGTAGCTTTCTGTTTCTGAGCAGGGTGGGTGTGGCTGCTTAGTCAATTATAAAAGTATTTGGGACTTGGTTATACTTCACATGTAAGCCAGAAGGGCAGGCGTGTATCGTGTCCAGTGTTTGATTTTGTAAGGGTTGTCACTGCCACATCTCTCTATTCTGTCCTTGGTTTGCATTCTCAGTACTCTCACAGGACAGACTATGAGTAGCTTTAAAGGTTCTTTTGTTGTTAATGATTTCGTTTTTAAGTAGNTATGTTGCCCAGTCTAATCTTGAACTCCTGGGCTCAAGCAATCCTCTTGCCTCAGCCTCCCAAAATGTTGGGATTACACACTGAGCCATCACACCCAGCCTCAAATCACACATTTTTAAAGAGCATATTTGACAGAGTAGATACCTCATGCCTTCCTTTTACCCACTTATCCCTCAAATATTCCAAGCATCTGAGTCTTAATTACAAAACCATTTCTAAAATGATTTTTTTTCTCAGCATTCAGATCATAGGGTAAATTCCACCTCTCGAATGTCCCTATAGAAGTGGATTATTTGCAGCAATCCAAAGATGGCTCTATTCTATAGAAAGCTACAGGACTTATTAAAACACTTGTGTTCTTAGGCTTATGTGTATGTAAAGAAAAGCTACCTTCCCCCCGTTGCTTATGTAATAATCTGAAATCTACCAGAGCAGAAAGAAACTCTCGCATCTAGTACAATTACCAGAAATGCTGACCTCACAGATCATCTGGCTCCTGGTCTATGGGCCTTGGATCCATCACAGAGGAGCAGCTACTCCCAGAGCCCCTGGAGCCTGAACACTCAATATATGTTGAAGGAAGGGTGGCAGGAAGGAAACAAATCTCCTTTAAAGGACAACCTAATCATTTCACTGTTCTGTAGAATTCCGCTCAACAGCTTCCCGCCGCTTTTACAGCCCAGTCCTAGCTATCTCTGGCCCCTTCTCCGACCCTCACTCTCCCTCTGACGTCCTTTTGATTCTTCTCACTCCCTCCTGCCTCAGGCCCTCAGGTCCGCTGTTCCCTGTTTGGAGGGCTCCCCAACCTGCCCGAGCACAGCCGCATCCCCAAAGACACCCCTTCATCCTTCCCATCTCAGCTCCAGGTACCTGCCTGATCCCCTCGCTCCTCAGCCTCAGCCGCTTCCCGCTGGTAACACTCACTAGTTCGGCTTCTTTGTTCTCTGTATCCCAGCTCTTAGTACTAGTCCCGGCCCAAAGCTGACAGCTGACGATATTTATTAACAAATTCCCTAATTGGCTGATTGAATCTCAAATCACAATCACCTGTATGGGGTGGGGAATTGTCAGTTACTAGGGAACACTGGGTAAGAAAGAACAAGATAAGCATTAAGCAATGAATTCAGCCCCAGTTTGGGCCTAGAACTTTCCTTCTGCAGTAAATGTCATATTAAAACTCAAGTAGACCCTACAGTTAGGCACCAAACCTCATATGGCATGAAGAAAGGTTCAAAACCAGAAAAATTTCTGGGCAGATATGAATTCCCTGCAACTAGGCAGTTTTCCTTGGTATGATTGCATGCCGGTGGCCACAGGACTCTGGCACGCTCCCACACTAGGAAGGGAAGGGGGCTCACAGCAATGAAGACCCATTGATAAGAGGAAGGTGGGATTTGGGAAGTCACATTACCTTAAGGGTTTGAAAGGAGCTTCGGCATGGGCCTGCAGGTCTGTCAGCTGTTCACCCCACTCCAGCTTGAGAAGACAGGACCCAGGGTCCTGCATGCCTGCGGAGGAGGGGCTAGCCACCTGTTCCACAGTCAGCTCTGGAAGGGCTGCTCCCCTGGGGGGCTGCCAAAGGTTTAGGGCACAGCTCTTGCATGGCCTCTCGAGTGTGGCTGACCTGCCCTAAGCTAGCTCCCTGCCCGTTCACTCAGGTGAATGCTCGCAAACCTGCTCAATGGTACTCTGACAGCAGTGCTCACCTTCTTAATGAACTCTGGGAGGAGTTTCTGGTCTGTCAGGTGTTCTAAGGAGGAACAGCAATCTAATTCCAAGATGTAGCCTTCATTATGAAGATCCATTTTCTGAGATCTGAAGAGAGAGAAAAGCGTGCACATACACGGATTATTTTTCGTAATTTTGAGACAAAAGTCTCGCTCTTATCGCCCAGGCTGGAATGTAATGATGTGATCTCAGTTCACTGCAACCTCCGCCTCCCAGGTTCAAGCAATTCTCTTGCCTCATTCTCCCGAACAGCTGGGATTACAGGCGCCCACTACCATGCCCGGCTAATTTTTGTATTTTTAGTAGAGATGGGGTTTCACCCTGTTGGACAGGCTGGTTTCGAACCCCTGACCTCAGGTGATCTACCTGCCTTGGCCTCCCAAAGTGCTGGGATTACAGGTGTGAGCCACTGCGCCCGGCCATAATATTTTTTTAAAAAGAATCACCGAGTCTTTAATGAAGCCCCAAATTCTTTCCTGAAACTAATGCTATAAAGGCACTGATGAAAAACAGTTTATGGAAACAACTCAAGTAATACATACAGATCTACATCATAGAAAGACCTCCAAGATGTAGCATCATGTAAAACACATCATTATAGAATGATGGGTTTGGTACAATATAGCTTACATGTTACACACACACACACACGCACACGCACACACACACACCCGTAATGTCTATCTCCCATTGGTTTATATCTACCAGGGCACAGAAAAAGAACTAGCAAAACATACACCAAACCAATAATGGCAGGTACCCCTGGGGAATGGGGAGGGCCTATGTGGGAACTGGGGCTGGGTGGTGACGGTAGGGGTGTGGGGGTGGTGATCAAAAGTGAGCCATAATCTCTAATTATTTTCATTTTTAAATGAAAAAGGATATATTCCTATATCACTTAGAAAATTAAAAATTAATTTTTAAAAGACTTTAAAAGGGTTCAACCCCTTCAGAGGGCAATCTGGTGAAATCTATCAAAATTAAAGATGCATTAAAGAAAGACTACCAAGCAACTAAAAGAAATTCTGGGAAAACAGCGTGGGTGTACAGGGCTGTCTGAGGTGAAGGCCTGCGGTCTTGCTGTCAATGGAGAGGCTTCCCAGCACACCCTGCCGTCTCTGCACACTGGGGCTGCTTTCCAAAGCACCACCACATAGACATCCCTGTGAAATAGCGCAGCTCAAAACTGCGCCCATTCAGGAGAGCCAGAGCAAGTGGTCACCAGGAGGAAATTCCACCACCTCACAGCCATTCACAGGCAGGGCTCCTGTATGACACAATAGTGGAAGCCACGTGGTTATCAGAAGGGGATTCCTTGGCCCAGCCAGGCATAAGGCAACAGGAGTGGTCCTGCAGCTACGGGCTGGCAGAGCATGCTGTCGCTCCTGGGTGGCTGCTGGTATTTGGGAGTGGGAATTAGAGACCAAGGCTCCCGGCTCCTCGTCCAGGGCTCATGTACACAGCTAATCTGCACTGCTGGAGGAGGGAGCAGAGCCTTCCTGGCTCACTTATGAGGCTGCTCTACCAAGAGGGGCCCCAAAATCCCCCATGAGAGCAGGACAGTCCAGAAAATCGGTAAAGCAGCACTTCCACACCGAACTCCTGAGATACATGCATCTCACCAGTCTCTAACTGTATATTTGCTGTTACACTTTTAAATGAATTTCCAAGATTCTTATATAGCATTAAAAGCAATTTATGCCACCATTAACCATCTGTGTGTGATTTACATGAAATTTAAAAGTGAAAAAAATTAAAGAGGATTTGGTTTTCCCCAGGTGGGCAACTGTGATTTGGTAAGCAGACTTCAATAGCTTATTTTTATTTTATGTTTCCTTCTGACATACCCTTCCAATGGTAGGATACTGTGGTGCACACATTCAAAATGTAAAAGAATAAACTGATTTCCACCTGGAACAAACTAATTCCAAAAGAATAAACCAATCCTGAACCCTAACCTTTTTGCCTTAATACTTGGTCACAGACTAGACTCATGTTCTCATTTCTTCCCCAAACAAAAGATATATTAAAAGAAACTAAGGCAAGATGATTCCAGAACTTAAAAAAAAAAAAAGACTTGGTTAAGACACACTGCCATACGTTGTCATGTGAGGATGAGGGAGGGCGGTTCTAAAATCTAAAATCCAGCTGCTCTGTTACTTGGAAACTAATGTCAGACTATATGAGGTTATTTAGCAATACTCACTGAGATTTCAAACGAATAGCCTAAAAAACTGTGATCTTTTAAAATAAGTCAATGCTGTACCCGTTAAGCACAACATTCACAGGATGAACAAAAGGAAGACAAGTCTGACTGTAAGCAACTCACAGCCCAGATCGAGTCTGGGGAATAATCTTTAACACAGGATCTAGTAAATACCATCTTTGGTTCTGGAACAAGAAGTTCTATAACAAGAAAGGAAGCTCTGGTTCATTTCATCAAATAACTAACTCAGTTACATCTGAACTGGAAGGAGTGCAAAAGATCAAGAAAAATAGGCATTACAAAGTTTTTAGATGAACCATGGAAAATTACATCTCAGCCTATGGTTTTTCGGAAAAGCAAATCTAATGCATATTGGGGGAATAGGTGAGCAAGTAATAGGCGTTCCCCTGCCTTTGGGAATCAGCTCCTCAATTTGAAATGAAAGGATTATAACACTGAAGAATGGCTGAAAGGGAGAGGATGGGGAAGGATCCCTAAACCCCTTGAGGACAGATGCTGGCTGCAGAGACGAAGTCAGCACTCGGTGACGGTGCAGCTGTGGCCTCAGAGGGAGAGCTGAAGGCAGAAGGCACAGTCACACAGAAACTCTCTGCTTGCCCCTAACCCTGTGAAAAACAGCATTAAATCCACTAGCAAAGCCCTATAGGGCTGCCAGAGGGAGTTTCTGGGCTTCTCAGCACCGGAGGTGGGGCATGAGGTACTGGTCAGGGGGACCATGGTTGCTGTGGCAAACACACCCTAAGATGACCCCCCAACAATACGCACCTCCTGGTGTTCACACTTTTGTGCAATCCGGCCCCTTGAGAGGTGGCAGGGCCTGTGACTTGCGCCTATTCAATAAAATGTAAAGGTGATGGATGTCACTCCTATGATGACATTATGTTATATGACTCCCTCTGAGCTACAGACTCCCTTACTGGCTTTGAAGAAGAAAGCTGTCAAGAAGAAGGAGAGAGCCACATGGCAAGGAACTATGGGTAGCCCCTGGCCAACAGCCTCAAGAAAACAGAGATCCCAGTCCTACAGCTACATGAGACGAATCCTGCCGACAAACTGAGGGAGGCTGGAAGTGGGCTTTTCCTCAGTTGAGCCTCTGGTGGGACTGCAGCCCGAGCCAACATTGATATTACAGCCTGATAAAATCCTGAAGCAAAGAACCCTGATAAGCTACAGAAACTGTATGATAAATACATATAGTTTTGAACCATGAAATTTGTTATAATTTATTACAGAGTATAGAAAACTAATACAAAAACAAAAACAAAGAAAACTAATACAGCTCCTGAGGAGGAAGACATGGCAGTCTCATGCCCAGAACAGGCACTCACTGGTGGCCAAGCCTAGGCCCAAACCCACAAAATCCAGCCAGACATCTAGGGCAGCCTCCATCAGGTGAGGAGTGTCTGTGTCCCTGAGGGCAAGGACCACCCTGGGAGACACAAGTGGACATGTCCCAGAAGTGACTTCCAGGGGCCGTGGCCTGGTTGTCCAGGATACCACAGGACAAAGGAATAAATATTCCGCTATCAATCTAGTTTCTATTAAGAAGTATTAACCTGAAACTCCCAGCTAAGCAGGCATCGCTGACTTCCTGTGGGGGAGGGGAAATACCAGGTATGCTCCCCAAAGGGCCATGTTATCGTATCATCCTGGAAAAGAATATGGGAGACCACCAAACTTCCCCTGGACAGAAGTCCAGATGGCTCCCACTTTTGGAAAGGACAGAGAGATCCAGGTTTAAACAGTAAGAAAAGAAAACACAGAATGCATTTCTGGAGATGCTCACAGAGTTAACTATCAGCAAAAGCCCCCCTTTATCTGGAAATTAACCCCCTTTATCTGGAAATTAACCTCCTTTATCTGGAAATTAACACCAAGCACTCTCCAAATAAATAAAGGCACTCTGAGAAGAGCATGGCTAATAATAAAATATACTTTCCCACACTCTCCATCCCCAACTTGGTAAATCTCAATAGATTTATTAGTTAGAGGCTGCTGGTGTTAGAACTAACTAGAGGTGGGTCACAGACCAGCTGTGAGTCTTTGTATTTCCATACAAACAGGTTGTGGGATGTGGAAGGGGGAAAATGGATGAAGTTGACTCCAAGGATCTTTGCCCTAGCAACTGGGAGAATGGACGAATTTGCCAGAACTATGATGGGGAAGGGTTGGGTGGTGCTGGCTTAGTGGGAAAGATAATAATTCAAGTTTCAGATATGTTGAATATGACATATCCAGAACATCCAAGTTGAGATGTCTGGTAGACAGTTGAGGATATGCTTGAATATATATATATATATATATATACACTCAAGTCTGGACTTCGGGAGAGACAGTTGTGTTCACACACACACATATTCAAGTCTGGACTTCGGGAGAGACAGCTAGAGATATAAATTTGGGAGTCATCAGCCTCCAGGTATTACTTAAAGCATGAGGCTAGATGAGATCTCCATTAATGTAGAAAGAGAAGAGTTAAGAATTTAATTTTGGGACCCTCCGCCATGAAGAAGGTGGGGAAAAAGGAGGAGAAAGCAGCCAAGAGCTAAAGAAAGAATAACCAGGGAAGAGAAAGAAAACCAAGAGAACATGTCTGTTTTCCTGGAAGTCAAATCAAGGGAGCAAGTCAAGGAGAAGGGTATGAGACACCCCGTCAATTTCTTCAGTTAACAAACTTATAATCTCTTCAATTTACTTATCCTCTTGAAATCTCAAGAGGTAAACTGGATTTAATCCACCCTATGCAAATAGGTGTAAAGAAATCTGTTAATCAGTTTATAATATATGATTATCTGGCAGATAAATAATTACAAATTTGGCAGATTGTCAAATCTAAATGTTGATTTGGGTTCAAAATAGC